ATTTCACCGAAGCCCATTTTACAGACAATGTAATTCTGGTCAATATCATTAGGGTTAGGTTAGAATTAGAGTTGAAGCTAGTGTAATTTATAAAAAAAAACTTGTCGGTGAAATGAGCTTCGGTGAAATAGACTGTCGGTAAAATAAACTTGTCGATGAATAATAATTGTCGCTGAAATAATACGGACCCATATTTACTATGAGTAATCAATCCTATTTCCGTGGATCGTATATCTCAGCCAAATCTACTAATAAAATCTCGTCCAATTTTCTATAAACATATTATAATTATGTAATTCAGCACAGCAAACTTGTCTTCTTAATAAATTTTATTTGATTTACTTAATAAAAATCTCATGTCTATCATATGTCCACGGAAATAGGTCAGTTGCTTTTTTATTTTTATAAATAATGCGGGTTGCAATTTTACTATTAGAATAAATTTTTATATATGCAAAATATAAATAAATTTTATATTTAAATAATTAATTGATTATAGATCTTATATATAAAAATTTATAACTAAATATACAAAATTGAAGAACTTTTATATATAGCTAAAAAAAGTCCCTGGAAATAGGTAGGTATATCTTAGTAGAATATAGTTAATTAAAATATAACTACTTATTGTTATGAATATTTGTACCCGATGGGACCTCTTGCATATTCGTATTTCAGTGTAACAAACACAAAATTTTACTAATGAAGTCGTAGCTCATTAAGAAAAATGCACAGCTTATAATTTTGCTATAGGTAATATTGATATAACTAATGCCCTCAGTCCGGATGCATTCCAACCCTGAATTAATAATGATAATTATTTAATGTAATCACATAGTAATTATAAATTATTAATGGTTAATAATTTTAGTAACTTTTTATAACTCAAGTTCAGTGCCTAAAGTTATAATGATGTATATAAAGATCACCAATTAAGTTCCTGGTTTTTAGTCCTAATATTTATCTATTCCTGGTTTGGCATAATTGCACTATATAGCTATGTTATTATAATTATTATAATGCTATATTATTATAGTATTGCATTATTAATTATGATATTGTGGCATTATGGCACATAATATTTATAACAATTGGGCTCTGTGCCATAATTAATTCTACCATATGGTAGAATACAGGAATACCGTAATTCAGTAATTATACTGCCAATACTAGTATCACCACAATAGTAAGTAGGTAAACCACAAAAATTGCTATCATATAGTAATCTCTATTAACACTTTAAATCCAAGATGACAAAAAAAAAAAAAAAAAAAAATTCAAAATTTCTTAAGCCTATTTGATTCTTAAGCTGCCATAGATCATAAATATATATACTACAAAATGTGTGAAAAAAAAAAGGCCTCTTTCCTGTTTTTTCCAACATCCTATTTTTTTTCAACGTCCCATTTTTTTCAACGTCCCATTTTTTTTTGACGTCTCATTTTTTTGATGTCCCATTTTTTTTTTTGACGTCCTATTTTTTTTAACGTCTATTTTTCAACATCTTATTTTTTTGATGTGTCAGATCTTTTTTAAAAAAAAACTATCATTGATTTTCAATTTGCCATCACATTAAAAATTTAATTCTAAAAAAAAATAAATAAACATATTTTCCAAAGAGAAAATATAAATTTTCAAAAATTATATCATGTGATATTATGTGCATTTATACATATAACATATACATGTTATTATAAAATGCACATGTTTCCCATTACTAGTTATATTGGTTGCAATTTGCACAATTTCTATTAAAAACTAATGTTGTTATGATTAAACTGTATATTTTATTTTTATTATCTTTTGGACATAAGAAATCTTTAAACTTGTAATTTACTCTTGCCATTCGCATATTTTCTATTTATAAATTTCTTCTAAAACAAATTCATTAATTATCTATATTTAGCTGATGCACCTTAAATTAATTAATCTATACTATATACTTTAAGATTATCTATTATATAATTAAGAATAAAATAAAGCATACACTAAAATTTAAATAACTTACTTCTTTTAACTTATCATATAATTTTGATCTATTTAATATTAAAGCTTTATTTCATATTATAGAATAGTATATTTTATTGCCTAATTAGATTGTTAATACAATCATCAATATTTTACTTTTTATATACTATTTCTTAAATATTTTCTGAGATATCGTGCCTAACACCAAGTAAAATTTATCAAAAGATCAATAATTAGTAAGTTAAAGGTTAATTTCTCATAATTTATATAGCAATAGTATAATTTGCTAGCCTTTATTATCATATGTTTAATCTTTAGTTTTTATCAATCTTTGTTCTCCTACTCTGCTTATATTAAAAATTAATCTACTCAATCTTTTTTTTATTAATTAAAGAAACTTTTTAGTATCATTATATTTTTTCTATTTAAAAAAATTTTCATTGATTTTATTTATTCGGCATTGTCTTTTTATAATATCTGTAATATTTTAATAAAAATTATCAATATGTTACTATCGTTATGTAATAAAATTATCAATGCGTTATTATTGTTATGCAATAAAAATTATTAATATGTTACTATCATTATGTAATGAAAATTATCAATATATTACTATCGTTATACAATAAATATTATTACTATATAAATAGAAAAATAAAAAAAATAATAGTCTTTTAAAACTCACATTATCATTGATTTCATTGCTAGCTTTAATACTACTATAATATGAGTGATGAAGTTGGTAAAGTTTGTGAACTTGTAACATTACAAAAAGGTAATCCAAAATTGCTAATCTCTGGTTTCCTATTCATGAAAGAATATGCCTATAAAAATTCTTACTATTAGAGTTGTGATAAACAAAAATCAGAAAATTGCAAAGCTTGTACAATCACTACTTTCTTAAATAATTCTCATTACTTTAAAAAATCTGAAAAGCATGAACATGGTCCTTCAGCTACTAGTGGTGAAATTGTACAAACTATTTCTCAAATTAAACAACAAGCTCGTAATACACGAGATAAACCTTCTAAAATAATTCAAAATAATATTGCTGTTACTCCAACAAATCTTTTGCTCTATATGCCTACAAAAGAGGCTCTCAGAATGAGAATTAAGCGTGTTAGAAAAAATGCAATGCTACCAGAACCCAAGACACTTGAAGAAATCAAAATTCCAATTACATTACGTTATACCTTAAGTGATGAATCATTTTTAATAGAAGATTCAGAATATAATCAAAGTAAAATTCTTCTATTTACCACTGCAACAAATATACAATATCTATCATAAGCACCTTATTGGGTCATAGATAGTACCTTCAAGACTATACCTAATCTTTTTTGACAACTTTATACTATCTATGCACCCGTAGGTGCAAATGATAATTTTCAAATTTTTCCACTTGTATATTGCTTAATGAGCAATAAATCTGAAGCACTTTATATGTGATTATTTTAAGCTTTAAATGACTTTGCTAAAGATAATTATATTCAACTTAATCCATCAACAATTATTACTGATTTTGAACTAGCAGTGGTTAATGCATCATCTAATATATTTCTAGATAATTCTTAATATTACATATTATTTTTGAAAAAGTTTAAAATATCTTGGAAAGAAAATCTAAAATTAGCAAATTTTTTCTAATTTACTAAATAAATAATTAATTAATTTTAAATTTTAGATGCTACGAATAAGGGTTGTTTTTTCCATCTCAGTAAAAATTTGTGAAAAAAAATTTAAGAATTTAAATTAGTTCATTTATATAGAACTGATAAAGAATTAAATTTAACACTACAATATTTACTTGCCTTGGCTTTTCTCCTACACAAAAGAAATTCCTAATGCATTTAACATTTTAAAGCCAGAAATACCATTAGAAGCTGTTAAAGTTACTAAATAGTTTAAGACTTATGTTTATAGAAGTATTTGAAAACAATTAAAAAATGACAATATATCTCGTAATTTATCTCTTTTTTTGCCAGAATTGTGGTCTGTTTATAACTCTGTTGAATCTAGAATTCCACATACACAAAATAAAGTTGAAGGATGGCATAATCACTGGAACACTCTAATTGGTCGCACTCATATAGGTGTTAATTTAATGATTGAAGAATTTCAGAAGAAGCAAAAATTTGTTGAGTTTTAAATAGAAAAAATTCTTAATAGTGAACAACTACCTAAGCCAAAGAAAAGTATAGTTGAACGAGAAAATAAAATCATGAATGTTTTTAATGATCGATCTAATTGTATTACTATAAATTTTCTTAAAGGAATGGCGCATATCTTTCTATTTAATTTCTATTTTTAGTATTATTTTGCTATATATAAAAAGGGGTATCGGTATATGTTGCAGTATTAAATATATATTATTATTATTAAGCAAATGCATATAAACCTGATTTAATCAATATTTGACAATTATTGTACGTATATACATACTATCAGGGTTGGTCAAATTACTGATCGACCAAAAATTGGTTGGTCAAACTGGTCTGGTCAAATTGGTCAAGTGGTCTGGTCAAATTGGTCAAATGGCCTAG